ACCCCTGGATGGTGTCCCCTCTGCCCGATGGTGACCCCTGGATAGTGTCCCCTCTGCCCGATGGTGACCCTTCTACCGGATTGTGATCCTTCTATCGAATGGTATGTATTACTGGTATGTATTGTTGGTATGTATTGTTGGAGTCAGTTGTTGGTACGCAAAAAGTGTTGACAAGGTGTTGTGGACTAGTTGGATGAAGTCGAGTATCCTGATTCGTTAACTTCGCTCTTGGGGTGGGGGCGGCTGGTCGGACGATTGGTCTGTGGGTTGGTGTTGTTTTTTGGGTTGGTGTTGTCCGCTGGGTTGAGTGCTGCATTGACTATGAGTCTCTGTTGAGTACTGACTAGTTCTGCGAGTTTCTTATCTTGTCGACAGCCCCAGTTGGCGACGGCTTCTTTGGTTGCGATGCAAAGAGTGACCCCGATGAAGCAAAGAGTGAGCTTAACTGTAAGAGGCAGATCTCCCCCGAAGGTAGTGAAAGCGATCACACTGATATTGGTCACAATTGTTAGGTTCATAAGGCAATCCATAACAAAGTTCCACGATGAAATATTGAGTCCAGTATGAGGATAAGGTCTGGAGCAGAGGTACAATAATTTAATCGCATCGATCCGGACTTCAACCATGAATAGAACCAGCGTAATTAAAGGCAAGATAAACCATGCTGATGAGAACAATAAACCTATCATGAGGATGAGCATGACTTCACCAAAATCTTGAGCAGTACTTTCATATTCATCCAACGATAATTCTGCACTCGCACGTTTCGCACTTTTTCTCCAAACTTTAAATTTAAACATCACGAAAGGTAAACCGAGTTCTATAACATTGCCGAACATGGCCATTACAATAATGGACTTGATTTGAGTCAATAGAGACATTAAACATCGACCGTATTTTGGATCTTCTTCGTAGCAAGGTTCATAATAAACCTTGAAAAAGGCTAAGTTGTAAAGTGGTAAAAAGTAATCAAATGCTGTAAAGATAAAGAGTTTACGTATCAATGATCTCTGATAATTTTCCTCATATCTATGATTCTCGAATAGTGTGAGATATTTGCATAGCATTTTATATAATTGATCGAATATAAAAGCAATAGCCGATGTAATTATTGCTGTCGTAGGTATCTTTGTTATAATGGAAGCGGGGATAATAGTGGCTGCATTATTCAGTGCATTCTCGATGTAGATACGCACCTGGTAACGTGCGAAAACATATTCGTGTAGGTCTTGATTTACGAAGAGTGCTGCTACAACTACTGCTACTGCTGTAATGGTCATGGAAATGTTATATCGAATATTTTGAAGCATTTTATTAGCTATAGGTAAATCTCGATCCGGCTTAACGGGGTCTTTAATTAACTTGTTATATTTATATGATGGTAAAATTGATCTTGTAGTTAGCTCACTTTCAAATAGACTTATCCCATACCTTAACTTCATCATCGATTGTAGACTAAGCCATTGCCTATACAATACTGTAACAGTACCAGACATTATTAACGATATAATAATCCTACTAAATGTAAATCGTCTTGAATGATGAACAAAATTTTGAGAATGATTAGCCAAACTAAGTATCGTACAAGCTGCAGCAGGGAATATTAGCCATTTGATTGTTAATTCTAGGAAGTTAAAGTACATACAAATTTCATCTCCAAAGTAATCTCGAATTAGATCATATGGTTGGGATAAAGAAAACACGTGTTTCCAACTACCCCAGCATAAAATTAATTGATTACGTAAATCATCATTACGATATATGTTCATCCTAATAATATTACGATCGTACAGATCTAGATAGGTAGTTAAGCTATGGTAACATAAACGAGCACGATCCACTTCGCGTAATATTGATATTTCATTAGGACATTGCGGTATTCTATATTCTTTCCAAGTTCCCCATGGGTGCTGCCATTTTAACTTTGAACTGTAATCTAAATAAGTAGGGGGTAATGGATGATCCGGTAATACATTTATATTCACAAATGATTCGTCATTCTTTGTTTTTGGCATATTCGCTAACACTTGATCTTCAGAAATGGTATGACCATCAGCCCATTTTATTCGCGCTTCTTGTACATAACCGGGAAAGGAGAGTTGGAGAGGATAATGGATCGATTCAGCTATCTCCAAAAGCCGGCATGTATCACCCTTAATGTATATTGCTACCTCCTTCCCTGTTACGGACTCCTCCCAAATCTCCGCATTCAAACCGCTTTTTGCGGCCCATGTCACCAACTCCCGAATCGTTGTATCCGTCGGCGCCAATTCCCGAACGTAATGCTTTGTTAAATATTTCCTCATGTCTTTAGCTTTCACTTCCCGGTCGCGAACCACCACACATAGATCATAAGCACGATCCTCAGTCTCGACTTCCTGCAACAGGTGTCCAGGTTTGTTGAGTAATTCCTCCGTCTCCTCCCGGTCCTTTTTCATCCCCAAAAACTCAACTGACTGCCACCCTCCTGACTGGCTGCCACCCCCCTGTCGTCCATTCGAAGTCCTCGCCCGTACGAGGTCTCCCGCCGCAATGAGTCTACTACGTACAGTCAAGTCATGTCACGTCTGGCAAGTCGTCAAGTTGTCGCGTGCTCCACTAACAACACACTCCCCAGAGCGACGCAACCAAGTGCAACGGTCATGCCTGACTGGTGACGACTTCTGTAATAGGCCCAATACTTTCCCAGTACCCCACCCAGAAAGTCAGTTCTTCCGCTCTCGCGCCCGGTCACTCCAGTGCTAACCAGAAGATGACGTGCGGGCCAGAACATAGATCCGCAAGGGTCCGGCCAGAAGGGTCCTTGACTGCCAGAGTCCTTGACTGCCAGAGAGTGCGGCTGCTACTAATCGGGATCCGAGCATCATCCACGAAGATAATGTTGGACTGCGCTACCGAGCGACTGCGCTACCAAGCGACCGCGCTATCAAGCGAAGACGCGCCTGCACACGCGTGCGTGTGCACACGCGTTCGCGACGCTTTGATCCCGTCCTACCTGTTCTAATAACACAAGATAGGCAATGAATGTTACGTAAGGGCTGCTGCGTTTCATTATTCCTGGGGGAGAACGCAAGTATTTTGACCGAGGGGTGTACGGCTCCAAGCCTTCCCCCAGACACCCAATTGCTTAAATATTATTGGCAGCCACCAACCGGACTCTCGGCCGTCATCCTCAATGGCGTCGACGTTCGTCGATCGTTTCCTGCAGGGAGGCGCCGATGAGGTCGCTTCTTCCTGGACGGGCGGCGGATGCTCAAGAGTCAAAGTCCGGTGACAACGACAAGAGTCCACGTCCTGAAAACAGTCGCAACAAGTCTGGGTAATGGTTGGGCCTCGTCGGAAGCTAACGAGCGAAGGTGGCGAAGCGAAGTGGGCAACCACTGACTGAAATGAAGACGCGCTGCCGCGAGACTGCCCCAGTAGAACAGCGTCTTGGTTCGCCTGCGACGCGTCCGTGAACCGTCTGTCCAGTTGCCGATCGAACTGCGCGCACATAGCGGTTGGAGGAGGACGAAAACACAGTGAAGAGGGAAACACAGTGAAGAGGGAAACACAGTGAAGAGGGAAGAAAGCACACGAAATGGAAGGAAAGGGGGGCGCTAAAGGGGGGGCGTACATTTGACATGGAACTGAATGTTGATTTCGAATGTGGCACTGTCGTATGAGTGTTGGCGCTGCCTTGAATAGGAGTGGATACTTCCGGTTTACCTGTGGGAGAAACGCCAACTAGCCGGAGTTTGCTGTACGCAAAGTCTTCGGCTTTTTCTTCGCAGATACTATATATGAATAAAGGGCATGAGCAGGGAGGGGG